TTCAGGTTATCTTTACTACAAATTCTATCTCTTAGAACAGTAAAACCATTTAGATGACCAAACTTATTCACCAAATCAACCAGCCATCCCTAAATATAATCAAATAATTATAATTAATATCAAATTATAATTGTTCTAAGAGACATACACTATTTATCAGTTTTGTTTCACCTTTGGGGGTCCACTTTCAGGTGATTTAGCAAATAATTCTGGGACATTCTCATTGGCCTGGCTTGACGCTCCTTGTGATGTWGTCTCTGATGGGCGCGCACCATTATATTCATTAAACCTATAAATTGTTATAATAATGTTATTTATAGTAAGGAGTCAAAACATTTTGTTTATGTTTTTATTTCGTACTGAAGAAACAAGCTTACTGAAAATAATATTCCCAGTTCTCTGAGCTGACACTTGACTACTAAGTCATCCATTAATTTCATTTAATATTATCATTGCTATTAGTTACCAATTAACAAAACATCTTTCATCACCATTATCATTGTAATACTAATATCATTGACACTATAATACCTTGAAAGAGGGTTGAATACTAAAGAGAGAAGGTCAAGCAAAGGAAACCAGTCTTGAGATAACTTCACTACACAAAGTTCAATTAATTTCTCTGTGTTCTTCAGAATACATTTCTATCAAAATAAGTGAGAACAAAAGAAAAGYATTTCATAAGAATGATTTATGTACCAACGATTACAAAATAATTGGACTGCATCTTACATGWATTTCATATTTCCAACCATTGACAGCTTCATCGTTTAATATCTTGTGAAATGACATGGTCAGTCCTTCTCTGAAAAACCTCTGACATTCCTCACTTTTTATATCATATCCTGGCAATAACAAAAACAATGTGTAAGTTCTTTATTTTATTGATAACCAGTAGTTATAAAAAAATCCAGTCCTGATACTAATTGCATATTTGCATGCTTGTTTTATCTGGTAAATTCATGATCTCAAGAGATTAAACCAATMAAGAATGATTTTGCGATGTCTGTGGGGTTTTTTCAATGTTTCTTTATGTTCTTCAACTTGAATGCTTTATTTTATTCAATAAGCTGAAAGCAATTTGTCCTGTACTTCTTCATTATATTTGTGTTTATAAAACAACTCACCAGCTTTGCAAAGTTTTATAGAAGCTTCAAGTAAAACCTCAAGTTCTCCTTTTGGCAATACCGGTACAACCCATCTCTGTCTATTTATCATTTCATCAAGCCTGGCAAGCTCYGCTATAGGGAAATTCGGCTCCCCATTTGGTAAAAGTAGATCATTTTCTTCATTTTGGTCTGTGGATTCTTGTTGGGAATTGTCCTTGTTGTTTTGTGGTTGGTTTGATTGACTTGTTGAGTCTGWATTCTTTGGGGGTGGTGGTGGGGGATTAGGGGGTTGTTGGTCTCCTTGACCTCCCCCTTTAACTGACATAGTCATGATATTTTACACAAACAATGTTCAGTCCAAGCTGGTTGATAATCCAATGCATACATAGAAAAGTAACATAGGTAGTGCTATGAGTTTGTAAGGGAGGGGAGGGTGGAAGATCTCCTAATGTCTTCTTTATTTCTTTAGATTTTGTTGATATATCTGAAAGAAAATATGCAACAAGTTTGTAATCTCAACAAGTGTTTAGAACAATAATAAGAAAATACAGATGAAATATAAAAAAGTTACTAACCAAGTAGCACAAGATAAAAGAAAACTCAGAAATTCACATAATTCAGTACAATTTTAGCAMWATTTTAACAGTTTTTTACTTTAATAGCTATTTTGATATAGGAACAAGTGTAAAATGGTGATCAGAGTTAAATATACAAATCAACTTAATCAATTCTTGATATGGGTTCACCAACCAGGAATCAAAGGCAAAATTTATGAAATGTTTTTTGGAAAAATCAACTTCTCATCAGATTAACTCATTGTTAAATTATACATTCAAAGTATCCGTCAAAAATACTATATATACTTTACATTAAGATAAAAATCCTTCTTGTAACTTTAATTATATATAATTAAGGTATATTTTCCACAATTTTGACGAAGGGAAACTACACCATATAATATTAATATTTCTATTTCTAATAAACACATATCCTGTATTTTTTGGTAAATTGTCATTGAAACCCAAATAAAATAAAACTTATAGAAAATGTTTTGCAAGGTAAGGCAAAATATAACAAGACTCTTCTAAGAAACCTTAATTTGTACATTTTGGAAAAAGCTTGTAATAACTGACTTTAAGATGATGTTCAGTTTTGTGAATCTCTCTTTTAAGTTTGTATTAATAATACTTGGATTACATAATACACTAATATTAGAGACAATTCGATGTCATGTATGATATTTCTCAGAATGTCCTACGTACGTAGGTGTGTTATTACGGAAGGTCTTGGTCATCTAATAACTAGCCAAGACATGAAGATCACGATTATAAATCCCACATATCTTGTGCATTCAAAACGATTGAATATATTCTGTGCTATCTTAATGTATGAGTATTTAAAGAACGAAATTTCATAGAGATTGTACAAAAAACAATTTTCATTTTACAATACCGGAAGAGGTCTGACTTGGAGCCAAATTTAACACATTGAACTTAACTCTGCAAACTAGGGCAGCATGCCACAAAAATTACCCCAGTTAAAAAGGTTTTTGTTGTTGTAAAGGTTGCTGATCAGCTTATTTGCTAGCTCAAATTCTCTTTCACTTAAAGAATATTTCTGCCTATTTTCAATGCATTGATTTGACATTTAGCGGGGAGCAACTCAAAATGGATTCAAAACGTCCTTTGAAAAAGGGCTCGCACAGTCCAACAAATTCATRGAATACCTACCGTATACGAATGCAGCTTTCCCACATCACAAAGAAATGCACTTGTACTTTCCAAAGATCTTCGAAAGGCTTCAAAATCTTGTAAACCAACAAAATTCACAGGAAAAGTTTTTCATGTTTTGCATGTGGAAGCAGCCACAGACGTCCAACGCATGCGCATTGGCTACGTACGAGTAACCCTTGGTCACGTGCCTGGCTCTTTTGAAAAGACTGGGGTGGAACACAGGTATCCCAAAACTTGGCCATTTTCGTCGAGCAAGTCGATAGATAGGCGAGGAGCACCGATGGTACTTAGTCAAATAAATCTGTTTGAATGCATGCACATGATGCACGGTGTACTGTATGGTGAGATACTTATTCTAAGATGAACAAAATGGTCAAGTTATAAACTTTGGTAAGTGATAAAAAGGCTAAAGAAACTCAGGAGAATTTAAAATTCATTATTCCACATATAAGCAATTCTCCAATAGATCCGATATAAACATTTTAAGCTTCTATATGGCCCCTCATCAAATCTTTAGTTAGCTATTATCCGTTTCCGGCACAAAGAACAGAGAGTTTAGGACAGAATGCATGCCATAAGAAGATGAGAACATAAACAAGATGTAAATAAATACGTTATGTATGAATTTAAAACAACAAGAAAGCATATAATTGATTTATAGACGTCTTTCTTGTAGATATGATACGATAGAGCTGCCGGTTTTTGAGAAATAAACTTCTTTACAAGATGTATTTTTCCCGCGTGAAAATTTAAAGTTGCAACGATACCGTTTGGGTTTCCTGTGCCTTTATCCGATTTCTGAAACTCGGAGATCGCGGAAATAAATAAAAAAAATCTATGTTTAAATAAGATGAATAAGGAGTGATGGGCTCCTAGGTAAATACATTTTTTTTGGAAACCTGCAAAGAACCAAAACAAAACAAACATTTTTTGAACTTTTTTTTAACTGAAATATTGCTTTAATTTTAAGTAATTTTTTAAAAGTAATCAATACACATTTCTTTAAGAACTTAAATAAAATAGCACTTTCCAAATGTAAATAAATGTCATTCCGMAAAAAATAGGAAAAAGAAAAGTGGAGATGCGGGGTTTCGAACCCCGGACCTTCCGCATGCAAAGCGGACGCTCTACCACTGAGCTACATCCCCGAGTTATATGATAGTCTCTCGATAATTACAAGTTTATTGAATATAATTACTACTTTTTACAAAATACTCCCTTTTATCGCTTAAAAACATATGGAATGACAACCAGTTATCATATATTTCAAAAAGGAAAATATTAACCTTTTTTAAAACTCTTTTATGTTTTGAGAAGTTCCAATATTTATCAATTATAACACAGGGAGCCCACAGGAGGAATTTAGGAAGATTATCATCYTTGTCTTTCATATTTTCCCTTTCGATAAGCCATTTCTTATAAAAGCAGTATGTGTGTATGAGATAAATGACAAACTTCTGATTTGYGTCCGCCACGAAATKCAACAGGAACTTTTGTAGAYCGACCATGCGTCCATGCAGRCCGCGCTGCGCGCAAATTGGCAAAAATTCCTGAGAATTCAAAAATGTGTTACAATGTTTGGCTACGAGTAGAAATTGTTAATTCACTATTACTTCWAAGATCTATATATGTATATATTGCCCGGTAGAATTTTTGATACTTCTATTAAGCCCAAGTAGCCAGAMCTTTATTAGCAAAATTCACAGATTAAATCTTCTCTCAAACCACTGGATCGATCATTAAACTACCAGGGTGTTTGTTATCATTCCTAAACAAAGAGATAGCTGTAACCATGTCAGAAATGAGGTGGCGAGTGTGATGATAAAAAATTTATATGTAAAACAATATCTAAAAATTRCTACCAATGCTTGCTTGAGATTTCAACATGAAACACTTTCCAATAAAGCAAAAGAATGCCGCCAAACTGCTAATGAAGCAAGAAAGCTTTTGATACATCGCAGCTTGTAATCTTGATATGCGTTGGCACTTAAATCGTTGGAACAGTTGAATTCTTTCAAGGGCGACCTTCTATTGTAGTCTTCGTGTTTCCGAATATTTTATTTGCAACAATAGCTTTGAAATGAGATGTTGTATATGATATTTTAGCTGTGAAAATGGTGTATGATAYATTAGAAATGATAAAAAGTTTCAAGTCGATATGGACAATGGTGTACTGAGGAGTTTCCATTGTTTGTCGAACTCTGGGAGACTTTGCAAACAATTGAATTCCATTGTAAATAATATCAATGCAAACTTGGGAACTTCACAGAAACACATCAACGACGCAAGTGAAGAAATTATCAAACTTCTTTCAATACTTTCACGAACTGTTAAGTTGATAGTTGAGGAGGAAAATTTATCAATTTCTCCAAATCAAGGAATTTTATCTGAGGAATACTACGCTGAACGGCTGGAAAGGAAATCGTCGACTTGCAGCAAGATCTCGTGCTGTGGTTGCTTAATAGAAGAACAGGAATCGAACAATAAAGCAGAGATAACTAAAGAAAACTCTGCGAGAACTCATATCAGTGACGTAAGAGCTGCTAAGGCAACTGTATTAAGAAAGCCAGGTTCGGGAATTCTYGTGTATTTAAAAGGAGCCAGAAAACCAAGTGTAAAGCCTTATACTTCAGTGGAAGACTCAACGAAAGACACCTCATTCGAAYCAAAGAAATTAAGAGTGAACGAAGATACCTTCTCTTTGGAAAAAAGACTTCACTTTGCAAARGAGATTTCTACTCCGAAATTTGGAAAAGTTCAAAAGAAAGACTGTTCGCTGAAAAACCACTACACAGCGACTTCCCACGAAGAAAATCATTTACAAATCAAGTGCACAGAAGATCTTCAGTCTCATTTAGACAACTTTTCGAGCGTTGTGCAGTCAGTGATGGAAGGAGTTGAGACGTGTTCGCAGCTTGCAAGCTCTCTCAGCTCAAGCGCTTTCCCTGGAGATCCTCCAACCGAGAGGTCCTTGTCTCTTGTGGCAGAAAATGGATCTGTAGGACCCATAAGTGATTTAGATTATTTCAAATTACAAAAAACGACTCTCCGCGATACTGGAGTGAATTCGGCTGATGAGTCGGGACTACCTCCAGTAAAGATATTTGACTTCGCTTCAGAAGAGGATAGCGGGGAGGTGTTCACGATCAAACCCAAAGAGGAACACCGACAAAGTATTGATGTGGAAGCAGAGTTTGCAAAAAATGAACAAGAAAATATGCAGCAAAATGATTCTACCAGAATTGTTAGTTTTGAGGAGGGAAACCACGAGGATGCAAACACCGAAAAGAAGACGAGAAAGAATTCAAAAGAGTCGAAAAAGAAAGCCCAAATCACAAGAAGCAAGTCGGAGAATTCCGTTAAAGGGGTGAAACGGTTTAAACTAAGTCGAATCTTTAATAGGAAAAGTAAGTCGGTCAAAGACAAGAAGGAAGAAGTGATTCCATCAGATGTGCCTGCGTGGGACGACTATGGCTTGGCTCAACCGGGATGTTCTAAACGAGAAGGGTCGTTTACCAACAGAAGTATTGACACTTTAAAGAGTATTGGTTCAAAAGATGGTTTCATAATTGAATCAGACTCGAACGAGAGGAACATAAATGGTTGGTCCTCATCAGAAGCACTTGATAATGAGCTCGAACAAGCTTCGCAAAGCACTGAGCCTTCTGATGAAAAGGACAAAATTATAAAACAACTGGAAGATGATAAAGCAGCACTAAATGTCGAAAAAATGGACTTGATGAGCGCTCTTAGCAACATCTGGATCGAAATGGAGGATTTAAAGAATCAATATGAAGAAGAAAAGGAGAAGTCTGGCAGGCGTAATTCGTTTGGAGGATTGCCTTTGAACAAGTCATCTATGAATGAACCTGAAATAAAGAGGAGCAATAACAACAACAACGGGGCGTCTTCCGATCTTTCAAAACAAGAACAAAACAATCTTCAAAGCATGAATACTCAGATCAAAGAACTTAACAATATAAATGAGGGCCTTCGATTTGAACAAGATATGCAAAACCAAACTATTAAGTCTTTGCAAAACAAGTTGACAACCCTCACAGAAAATCAGGAAGCTTCATCACGTACAATCAAGGATCTACTTGAAGAAAACAAARCCCTCAAGGATGGAACTCACAGTTTCATCAACAACAAAGAAGTACCTAAAGTCTCCAAATTGAAAGAGGAGAATTTTTCATTGAAAACGCGTTTGGATAACATTCAAACTGCTAGACTTCTTGCTGAAAAAAGTCAACAGAAAGCGCAGATTGAAAATAAAAAACTGAAAAACTGGAAGATCAAAATGGACGAAAGGTGCGCTGCTTTATTACAAAAGATTGAAAAAGAATTACAAACAGCAGAAGATGTTACACCTGCTGACATTGAAATAATTAAAAACGAAAATACTCTAAGTTTACCAAGTGAGAGATTTGGGCAAAGAAGGATGTCTGACATTATCATCCCCGAGTTCGACTCCCTTTCTGATACAGATTCATATCAAAGTGAAAGTTCAGTCAAGCAAATGGTGAAGAGCATCGAGCGCAGTCGAAGCACAGATTCAGAACTGAACACACTCGGCCGACGMGAAGGAGAAAGRACATTGTGGGCGAATGGAATACGACGCTCTGTGACTATTGGCTCCCYGAGCGGCAATACATCACTGTTGAGTGAAGACAGAGAAATKTTCGACACAAAAGTAAGTAGGTTTCCGCCCACCCAAATCTCAAGTACAGGAAAAGCGCTAAAAGAAGCTGCCAAGAACGATTATGGCAGACTACGCCCAACTAAGAAGAAAAATCCAGATTTAGAGGAAATAACGGCTTTTTCTAACTTAGAGATTAGCTGCTCTAAGTTATTGGATAAGTACAAAGAGCTGAAAATAAAGGTTGAAAATGCTAAAAAGTCAACGAAGGAAAACGAATTGTCGAAGACTGCAAAAGAGAATCCATCACTACATCCCTCAAGTGAGAGCAATGCAAGAAAGMAATCAGAATCTGTGCTTTATTTATGCTTAAGGAATTTACAGAAAGAAAACGACACTCTTAAGCTTGATAATCTTAAACTGAAAGCAAAGATGGATGACACACACGACATGGACCATCTAGAAAGCGTGACGTCACAACGACCAAATCGAAAAGTGTTAACAAAGCAAAATGCTGAGAAAGACTGGAGCCTAGAGGAGCCGCGCGTTGAGCCCGTCARGAAMGATTTCAGAGTTTTTGATAGCTTCATAGATGAAAGAYTGTCCAAAGCAGACGGACTTGGTGAAGACCCAGAGGGAAGGAACCTTATTGATGAGATTGACGGAATAAGACGGGAAAGACATGAAAAACAAGAGATGGACGTAAGCTCGTGGCATAGAAAGCGCTCAGAGAAAAAGTCCAGAGAAAAGTCTAAAGCGTTTAGAAAAAAAGAATTGGATTTGTTAGAAAATAATACTGACTTGGCAGAACTGTCTACCGGTGAGAATGACTCCTCAATACCAAATCATGAATCAACCGAGCCGACTCTTTCCCGGACAAGAGCCTTGAGTCTCGATCAAGGTTTGATTGCAGCAGAGCAGTCACTAATACTGAAAAAGGCTCCTGAAGAGTACCTCAGCATGAAAACAGACAGTAATAACAACACTAGCCAAATGGATGCACTTGATCATGATAAGACTCCGACCTTACAATACAACGATTCACAGAAAGCCTCAAACGGTGAAGACCATCTCAGCAGCTCAATCGTACCGCGTTTAAAAGAGTTGAAAGATAAAAGAGATGAAATGGAGAAAAACTCTTCGGTAAAACGTAGTTACAGCGAAAATAAAGCTGTACGAAAAGCGTTGTCAACGTGTAGAAGTCGTGAAAGGCTTTTTACCGTTTATTATGTATGATTGAATAATGACAAATGATGATGACTGGATTCCTGAGGACATAATTCAGGTTTCCACATCAACATTTCCTTAATTGTTGTACATATGGTACCTCTGGATACATTCATATTAATATCTTATAATGCGTTTGAATAGAAATTACTACGATTTTGTTTTTGTGTTCGCCGCGGAATCACTTGTGAATTATAGTAGAGTCACCTTAACAATAAAGAAAAAGAGGAAGATTTCATTTCTACATTTCTTTTTGTCATACTACATAGCGTGTATTTTCAAAACTGGTTTTACACTTTTTACAAGATTATTGAAGGATTTACCTCAAGAAACCGACGGCTTATACTTACTAATGGTCGAGACAATTAACTAGGATGAACATGACGGGCTATTCTTGAAGTTTGAATGATTTTAACTGCATAACATCTAATGATTAGGAACGAACCAAATGAAAGCAAACATTTACAATTAAGAAGTACTTTAATCCACTGTTAAAACGTCGATTTTAGTCGCACAGTCATTAGCAAACGGCAAAGTGATTAGGAAGTTACAGAAAAGGTCCTCAAGTCATCTTTATTAATAGAACCTTTCAGTATCAAAAGAGATTGCCTTATGGCATAACTACAGGATAATGTACTTATCCTATGGTTGGGAAATGTTGGCTATTTGTGTTTTAAAGTCGGATGCATTACCAATGTACGTTATACAAATCCTTTTCAAAAACTCGTGAAAAAAAAGACTTTTTATTTTCTATACATAGAATGAGTATGCCATTAAACTAACTTCAATTAGTATGTTTCGCACGCCATAATTTTAATATTGTTGTATAATATCATTTGAAAGAATGCTCTGGCAAATTTATATAAAGCATTTTATAGGTACTTATCATTCGTAGTATTAAATTGAAATATGAGTTGTAGTCCATATTGTATTGTCCTCAATTTCCTTAATGAGCGGAGATCGCGATCACTAGGTCTATATCATACGCCCAATCTCACAATGTACCGATTGAAATACAAATGGCTCTTAGAATTTCATGCCTTTTGCGTCATTATTATCTTCKAACATGAAAGATTCGTCGTATCTCTATCATCTCCGTGCTTCAATATGGTGGTCCAAACTTTCGTGTTTTGAAATGAAAGGAGAGCTTAGCYAGTATACTTTTTACGGSGTTATAAATRTGCTCAATAATTTCAATTACAATGCACAGATGCTAAATTTGAATTTCCAACATCAAARACATRCAGGTGACTTAATTGAGTCACAAAATATAGACCCTTGAATCTCTCGAAACATTTTATCATTTATTTTTTTATTGAATCTCATTCTAAAAGCTGTTTAGTCTATATAAATGTCTGGTTAGTGCCCCTTAGGTATCCCATAGTTTCTCACTGAATCGATTATGAACGCAGTCAAGATGGCGGCCGCATTAGTAATATGGTCCATGTAGAGGTGTTCGGCGTAATAACAAAGTAGATGTGTGTAAATAACCTCATATCCAAAACAAATCATTTGGCAATCGATGATTGATAAAGTGTTACCATGTGATCATTTCCTATTTGATAATGGACTGCAATTTGAAGTTTCTTTACGTACTCACAGATAATGAGTGTTTTCTACAACAACCATTTAATCACCTTAATCACTGAGCGAACAGTATCTAATCAATCGTATTTGCGCACTAAACACAATATAGGTCTTTCATATAATTGTCAATAACAGCCATGCCAATGGCTAGGAGGGCGTTATTAAATGCTGAGGCGTGACATGTTTTATTATAAGTTGTTATTATTTTGAAAGCTTTGTTAATATTTCACGAACCCTGTGTCTGAAGAATGGTATCTATCAAAAGTCATCAGTTATTGTTTTTATTGACTCGCCTGCATCCTTAGGCTATTTGTACACGCCTTTTTTATATTTACTTTGCCCGAGCGACATAGTCTCGCAATTTTTTTTATTGATCATATAAGTTTTCTCTAAAAAAGCTTTATGATTGCACAGCAATACGCGTTTTACATGGGAAACCCGAAAAGTTATGTCGATTGCGGGAAGAACTTGCTCCTACTGTCCTTTTCCCATCTCCGGCTTGAGCAAATAATTCTCTCCATTTATGAGCCATTTTTAGACTTCAACGTTACCAGCATGACTCCATAAAGGTCTCTKGCCTCCTGTTAACAAGTAGAATTGATTAAGTTATTTTGTTTTTCATTTCTATTCCAAATAGACATTGACAATCTTGACAAGTGTTACTGAAGGTTTGAATGGTTTTAGCATGACCCAAAAAAGATCTCTGATCTCTACTCGTATTCTCGTTTCTGTTTTGAGTTTTGTTCCTGTGTTTTCACAATAATAACACTTAGCAAACCCGTTAGCATCTTGAAGAAACATGTTTTGATTGGCTTGGTGCGAGTGAGCAACCGAGAGTAAAGTTCCGGTAATAATAGTGTGCGCTGAATCCTAACGATTCATTGAAATTTTTCTCTCCAGCTACATTTCCTTACAGTATTCAAGCTTATTAGGAGCTTGACACTTACCTAATATATACAAGGCTGTGTATCGCTGTGTAAGGCTGTGTATCGCTGGGTAGATAAAAAGTGTTGTGGCCGGGTCTTGTTCATTTTGCTAGGGCAATCCATTTTTCAATAAGCTTTAGACATTCGAATATTTACTGCGCAAAGATAAACGGCTTAAAGCCCCTTTGGGAAATACGTTCTTAGCTTAGAATATCTCTATCTAAATTGAATAAAGAAGTCTGTAGGAAGAGCAGATTAAAATGCCAACTCGGCATGCATGCAAGCTCAATGGAGTCCTCTCTATTACTTATAACTATGATGKAGTCGATGAAGGATTTTTACATTCACTTTGGATGAATAAAGTGTTTTATCGTTAGGCTCTTTTTGTTGTTTTCATAAAGGGTTGATAAGAATAATCCTCAATTTCGTAAATTCATCACAAGGAGAAACTGAAAATCGATTTTTGTATTTTTGTTTTTGTATGTGTTGGTTTTTCCGGCAAAATGTTTCAAGCGCGCGCAGTAGGKCTTTTGCCACAAGCAATTTGAACCGGAGAATTACCGAATAAGATTTCTTCTGGCGCTTTTTATCGAGAGTTGTTAAAATTCGTGCTGAGTTTGTATGAAACAAAGAACTGCAGTTAATTCTTTTCTGATTTGAAGTGTTTTGTTTTGAAAGCGATTTTCAATATCGTATATTTGAGTAATGATATCGTAGGTGATCAAACTAATGTTTTCATATAGACCAGTTTCCGATAGCCCAATTAATTCATATTTTTTGAGTTTRAAATTCCGGACAATATGCATTGAGAGATTAGAAACCGAAGCCGCTTGATCGATGAGAATTGGACCCTTTCGCGAATTGATATAATCAGAATTTTTTCTAATATTTCATTTTTTTGGCGATTTGAAAAATGYGTTATATATAAACTATATTTCAATCATACTTTAGGATATTTAATCGAGAAAATGAAACTTATGATAAAGATTATACCCTCACAAAAATCAATTTATCATCTATCTTTTCTTTCACATAGATGCCTAGAAAATATTCATTTAGTCGTTTTGCGACATAACAAAAAAGCGCCAGTATGTTCGGTCAATTTGTGAGTTAATTTTATTAATTTACTGATATTAGAAATGAAAAGTGACTTTTCTCGTGATAGGAGTTTGACATGATTKTTCGAGAGCAGTAATGATTGTTTGTCGCACAGATTCAAAGTTCAAAACATGGTTCTCRTAGGATGAATGAATTSATCGATGAACATTTGGGATTTGTATATTCATGGTAGATAAGGTGTTCGGTAGTCAGACGACGAAATATTTGATACACAGTTATTTAGAATTTGGATTTTCCGGCTGTAGAGCAGCTAGYTCTATCTGAATGGTAAATTCATATCATACGAAGTCTTTTTTTTGGAATCTATAGTGTTACATGTAAGCTTATGGACACATTAAGATATAAGTCACTCTAAATCAGCCTGTCAGACTTTTAGTAWCAAGAACAATATCACTCCCAAGTCAGTAGCAAACAGATTTCGTCAGTGGGGCTGAGTTTGGAGATATAGAGAGGCATTAAGGGATAAGCATAACGTCTCATGGAAGGATTTACGTTCCAGTCTTTCATCTGTCCATTAAATATGTAGTCCTCTGAAGAATGTAAATGAACAAATGGTTTGAAGACGGCTTAATGATAGATTTTACCGATATCATTACCATCCTGGTTTAAATGACTTCAATGATTGAATACAGCAAGCGAAGTGAAATCGCGCTAGCAAACTTGCTCTGTGATAAATATATTTTACCGAATGTATTTTTTTCTTTATTCTACTCAGTTTAATTCTTATTCCAATATAAATAAACTGTTCAAAATACGATAATTGAAAATCCACAAACATGTTATCTAATGAATTCTAAATGACTTCCACAAAATGAGCTATAGGAGTAAAGCACGGAAACGCGGAATWCTACTGCGGGAAAATATTTTGAATTGTCACTGAAATTYTAGCGCACAGGTGTTTAGACTCACTGCTAATCTCTTTCCCTCAAGTTCTCGTAACGTATCTTATACCCATACAAACAGAAATAATCTTGATTCAGTAAATAACTTCGAGTCGACTCATCAGTGAGTTAAACAAGATAGAACCTTTATAAGGAGACAGCGTTGAGTAAGAGACAATATGTTATATGTTCTCTTAATCCTATCACTGATAACAAAACCTCGCTTTTATTTCAATACTTGACCACTTGAAAACATTCACGTTTCTCATCGCTTTTAGAACTAGTTGGGTTTTTTTCAGTACAGTTTATATCAAAGACATACGATAAAATAAATAATGTCGCATGATATAATGATAATCACAGTTTTGAACTACAGGAAGTAAAGTTTTGGTTGACGCGCGTTCGCAATCCTTTCGCGCCACTCCGTGTCTTTATAGAAATCTGTTCTTGATAACATCTCAATATGATGATATTTAACGTTGGCTTTAATATAATCGTTATTCTTATTTTYTAATAATTTTAGAAAGCGATTTAATTGCCAACATTTGAATAACCCATTCTACCTTTGTGCTCGTCCTAATTCCACTTCGTTTTTGCGTATTAAATGGAACATTATTTTCAACTTTTTATTTAATTACATTTATACATAGATAAATATATCTTGACTAGCATTTATCCGTGCACAGTGTTTGTAATAACACGTTTTTAAAACAAATAGTTGTCATAATCAACAAGATTTATGACCTATAGTAAAGACACTAATTTCTTGTTGAATTAGTTCCGTTTTTTGCCGTCTACTTGATTGATGTTAAGCTCACTGTTTTTGTACAGTGTCTATTATTTGTAAAATTCATATACATTTTCCTATTTGCATGTATTCATGGACTACATTCGTTTAACAACGAAGTGAACTGCCGCTATCGAACAAATATATACTACAAACTATTTATGTTCATTTTGCGTTAAATAACCATAATTTAAATCGATGTTATTTACATTGATTTCTTTGAAATCTAAATAAGCAGGCGTCACGCAAATAGTCACTCAACTAGTATTATTTCCAATGGTATTGAACAGTTCAGTTTCTTTTTTGTACAGGTTTAAAGTTTGGTGTTACAAGCTAAGAACAGACGCGAGCTGCTTCGGGTTGCAGCTGGTTGCTCGTCATTTCCTAAATGAGAACAGGAAAACTCGATAGTCCGGCTTCGGCGGTCTGTTGACTCACGATGGTCGAATCCACCATTTGAGGTTCTCGAGCCCGCTCTTTCTTTTTGGAGGTTGAAAAGAGTCTTGAATGCGTTTCGGAATTCTCGGCTGACTATGCAATAGACAATCGGGTTGAAGGCAGAGTTGGCGCAGCCAAAAATAATCACTATAAAGAATATTATAAGATAATAAGGCTGCGCATTTATAGTCCAGAAAATTAGCACAAGTTTTATGGCACTATTAGGAAACATGGATACTGCGAAAAGAACTGCAACAGGAGTTAGGATGTTTTTTGCTCTCCGGTTCTGTGTTAGTCGGGAGCTATCTACTGGAGATCGCTGGGACTGTGGAAAGTTGCCATTGTTGATAGACTTTAGGGTTGCTTGATCTTCATGACTTTGAACTGTTTCGACTTTTGCTTGACGCCTGTTTTTGGCAGCTTTTCTCGAGACGATGCCTTTGATACTTAGGAGAAATGTACTACTGCGACTCAATTGGCGCGATATTACAACATATGTCCAAATAACAACTCCGAGTGGGAGAACGTACGAAAGAAATACTGAAAACCCTAACCAAATCTTGAAAGCAAGAAGCTCTTGYCTAGGGTCGTCAGTCCACTGCACAGTACAAATTGGAGGGTCTTTAATGTACGTAACCGATACATAAACCGGGATACAAAAAACAACGAAGGAAAAGCACCAAACGAGAACTACAAGAATCTTGACAGAACGCTTCGTGTGCCTCTCTCGTCGATGAACYCGTGCCATGCCTACAATATTTCTATATCGTTCTATAGCAATGGCAGCAATTGTCCAAACAGAAGCACCATAAAAGAGATCAAGCATGGGGAATACATACAGGCAAACGTACTCTCCAAATGGCCATTGGTAGGGCAGTTCGACTCGAAGAACACCACTCGGAGTGACTAGGAGTAAAAATCCCAGGTCTGCGATAGCTAGATTTTTGACGAATAGATCCAGTGATGAATTGAACGCCTTACGCTTGGTCGTTACTATCACAACAACTATGTTACCAATAACTCCAATCAGTATAAGCAGAGTTAGTAGGAAGTATTTCGTTAGTAAGATAGGGAATGATTCTTCATAGTAGATTGGTTGAGCATTGTTCGCTGGATTATTGGTGGAAGAAACGTTTTCTTGTTCGCACCGAGAGTGAAAAGAACAGTTGATCGCGTCAGCCATGCTAATGACCTAAGGCTAAAGTTGAAGATAAGATTTCTTATAGAACTAGCGAACCACTTAGACCCTTTGATTACAGCGCGTGTCAGAAGCACGCGATAGCAACTGATGGGAGGCGCTGTTGATGTTGTTCCTTTGGCAGTACTATCAGACTGATGCCTCAGTAATGATTTGAGAATGGATATATAGSACATCGAAGTGATTACTACCWGGAACTCATCGATAAGCCACCTCTTTTGTCGTCGTGCGCCTTTTAACCGCTCCTATTGCGTGTGTGGTCAATTTGAGCGTAGAACTGTCGACAGGGACAATTAACCCAAAACCATAGGCAGGTCAAATTGTACTGTTAGTTTTGATTACCTACTGGGGTCCCCTGAGGATGTTGTTGTTGACACCTGTAAAAACAAGAAGATATTTACCAGTTTTGCAGACTACCCCACTAAACAAACAACCAACTGACTCAATGAAATGATCGTTGTTTGTTGTAATACTGAGTGTTTTTGGCGCGAACTTAATTGCAATTAATTTATTCGGAAACCAGACAGCAGCTCAAAAATATGCTTTTAGAATGACCGACAGTCCAAGTAAGCCTCTAGATAAGGCATATTGTAAGAGCACCATATATTCTAAAAAGCACTTACGGAGAAAAACACATTGACCCATCTTGCGCCATTGTGTGCACATCCTGTCGCTACAAACTAACATCCTAGTTCTTCTCAAAAACAAACCTTTTCAGCTTTTCATAATGTGCGCGCTCGATAGGGTCACCGGCGAAAATAGTCGCCATATGCATGATGATTTAAAGTAAATATCCGCTGGAGCTTTCCAGATAAAAAAAATTGTTATTCGATAGTCTTTTATTTGAATCGAGATTGAAGTCTTAAGATTACTTAGTTTAATAGTAAAGCAAAGAGTYTCTAAATTTTCTCTATATTTTCTAAGAATAATGTTAATGTATCAAATAACGGGGAAAATATAGACAAACTGAAATGTACGCAAACACATTAATAATTCCGTAATGTAAAGTAGATTAAGGAGAAATGTTCCAAAAAATTTGCTAATTAAAATTAAACATGCCCACGCAATCGACCTAAAGAAAAAYAACAAACAAATTGAAAACATGAGATATAAATTTTATATTAGTGATTTGTATTGAAAAACATTATTCATCAATGAGAAATGCAGAATTTTATACAGGATTTATTAGGATGGAATCGATTTTCCAGGGATACATAACTGATTTGTTGGGGTTTTTTTTGTAATATTTCCGACCATATCACGTTGTATTTACAGTTTTTTCAAATGGTTTTTGAATGATATATACGCCGGCTTTTTTCAAAGACGTTGTCCAATTTTAAAATAGTAACTGAAAAGATTATTTCCGCATCAGTAAATAGAGAAAACGGAATCATTGGTCAGCATAATGTTCCGATTTCCAGTCCGAAGTAGAATGCTCTACTAGGCTAATGGATGTCATATACTTCAACCTCTCTGCCTAAGAACAAATACGAAAATGCAATCCAATCAGTGTATTTCTAACCCAATTCTTTAGCATATACTATAGTTTCGATTCATTTCGTTTTACTGTTTTTAAATAGACAGAGTTTTTGAAAGCAGCTGTAAGTATTTTATGATGATATTGCATCGAGGGAAAATGTAACGATTTYTCCAGTCACATAGACACATAGAAACACTTTCACGAGTTTATAGCCATATATTCTTTGATAGAAATACCAGAAAAGCGCCAAGGTTTCAATTATTTTCTCTGACTTTTGTGCTTAGACCGACTATAGTTTTTTCGAGGCTAATGTCTTTCACTAAAATCATCAATTTATTATATGGCTATCGCTTTCACTAATTTCGCCAGAAATACTGAGMGTTGACGTAAACAAGTTCGCCCTCTTTCATCTTCCCTGGTTTACAAAAGCGATGAAAAGCTTCCCTRCGACGATTTCGATTACAGTTAATTGATCGTTTTGGTTCACCATAAAGTGAAAAATAAAGTTTTTTCCTGTTTTTCATCAAAAGATGAGAAATAAGTAGCAATTCAAGCTTGCTCGTGATTGGCTAAATACGTATTTTTCTCAGCTTGTGATTGGTTCCGATRCACGTGARGTCAYATGAGTGATTTGCRCCTTGAGAAAGTGCGCAAGCACTGTATTTATTTTATTTTCGTGATAGTTTAGTGTTCACTTGCTTTGAATTGAAAATTCTAATTATTGCTGAAACAGACGTTTGTTCATTAGCAGTCGACGGGAGTATTTTATCCTAATTGACGATGAAGTGTKTTTTTAGCATCGGTGCGAGCGAGACAAAAAGACTAAAGTTACTTAAAAGATTCCAAGAGAATGATTCTTGACTGAATAAACACCGCGCGAGTCGGTAAAAGCTTTCGTATTTTCGATTAAATACTTTGTTTGTGATTGGCTAAGGGTTAACAATCGTTTTTTTCTTTTCTTTTTTTTCTTTCTTTTCTTTCTTTCTTTCTTTCTTTCTTTCTCTCTTTAGATTCATGACTGAGTATTTTCTACGTGTTCTCGCTATCGAATTTTTCGAATAATACAATTCTTCTTTTGAATAATTAACGCTTATCAGACGATCTATCCTCAATTAAATCACGCATTTTCAGCGAAATTAACAAGTTTGAATTTTTAATTTGTTGACTTTTTGTGCTTTGAAAACTCAAAACGTAGCAAATACCCAAATCGAGCGACATCGACCGTTTTTTTCGCAAAATTAAAAATCTTTTGGTGCATTCGAAGGTCATCTGGAAGTCTTATTTTGCGGTAAAACCCTTCTGAGTTCCATAATATTTAAAGTTTCTCCACGAGCTCAATTTTATCAAAAAGTGAGTAGTTAGGTTAGTAGGTTACAAGTACTTGAAATTTTGATATCTGAGCGGTTGTTGAAAAGATTTTTTGTAAATATCTCGCTTGCATTTAACTGCAAGGTGCTTATTTTCACAGAGCATACGACGCTTGATAATTGAATTGCTGTTATGCCGCTTCACTGCGGTTTTATAGAATTTTATCAGATTAATCGACAACATTGGAAATGTAGCAAATACCCTTTTTAGGTAGAAAATACCCACTTTTCCAAAATTTTAAAACAATTTTGCTTGAAAAACGCCAGAAATGCAACATTTATCATTTTAATTTCCATGAATGCAAACCGCACAGTAAGTCAAATCTTGAGAAGCACTTATAACATTTTTGGGCGAAGATTTAATTGATTAAAAACAAAAATAACATAAAATTGAATTCCTACAATGTCTGTATGAACACAACGTCCTGGATTTGTTGATAAAATGTCTTTTGTCAGATAAAATGTTTAATATCGTTATTTAAAGTATAGAAACATGTCCTCAATGACGCAAAGACGTATAATATTAAAGTTTTTTATCATCATCATCATCATCAATATGAAAGGCATCGCTACCAGTGACATCACTAATGTTATCATGATCATTATATGGTACAAATAATATTGATAACGATAATAATGAGTATGATAGCGATGATAGCAGTTTTGCACATTTATTATAGCGATGATCATACGAGTCTGCGCATTGACAATAACAATGATTACGCGTATGACAGCGATGATAACAGTTTCCGCATTGTCAACAACAATAATTACAAGAATGCGAGTGATGTTGTCTGCGTATTACCAATAACGATGATTAAATGCATGATAGTGATGATTACAGTCTGCAAATTAATCATAACGATGATTACACGTATGATAAAGATGATTACAGTCCGCGCATTGATAATAACGATGATTACATGTATGATAGTGATGATTACAGTCTGCATATTAATCATAACGATGATTACATGCATGAATTTGATGATTACAGTCTGCACATTGATAATAACGATGGTTATACGTATGATAGTGATGATTACAGTATTCACATTGATAATAACGATGATTACATGTATGATAGTGATGATTACAGTCTACACATTGATAATAAAGATGAATACACGTATGATAGTGATGATTACAGTCTGCACATTGATAATAACGATGATTACATGTATGATAGTGATGATTACAGTCTACACATTGATAATAAAGATGATTACACGTATAACAGTGATGATTACAGTCTGCGCATTGATTAGAACGATGATTACATGTATGTTAGTGATGATTACAGTCTGCGCATTGAAAATAACGATGATTACACGTATGATAGTGATGATTACAGTCTGCGCACTGATTATAACGATGATTACATGCATGACAATGGTGATTCCAGTCTACGCATTGATTATAACGATCATTACATGTATGATAGTGATGATTACAGCCTGCGCATTGATAATAACGATGACTACATGTATGATAGTGATGATTACAGTTTGCGCATTGATAACAACGATGAATACACGTATAACATAGATAATTACAGTCTGCGCATTGATAATAACGATGATTACACGTATGATAGTGATGATTCCAGTCTTCACATTGATAATAACGATGATTACACGTATGATAGTGATGATTACAGCCTACGCATTGATAATAACGATTAATACACGCATGATAGTGATGATTACAGTCTGTGCATTTATAATAACGATGATTACACGTATAATATTGATTAGAACGACGATTGCATTGATTAGAACGACGATTACATGTATGATAGTGATGATTACTGTCTGCKCATTGATAATAACGATKAWTACACGTATAATATTGATAATTACAGTCGGCTCATTGATAATAACGATGATTACATGTATGATAGTGATGATTACTGTCTACGCATTGATAATAACGATTAATACACGTATAATATTGATAATTACAGTCTGCGAATTGAAAACAACGATGATTACATGTATGATAGTGATGGTTACAAATATTTACATTGAAAAAAAATGATTACATTATTGAGAATGATAATAGTTAACGATGATAACAGCTATGACAGACGATGTTTACAAAGTGATAATAACGATGATTTTGGCTGTGATAGTGATGATAACATCATTAGTATTGCTAGTAACGCTGAATACGCTTATGATTGCGATATTAACTCCATTTGAAATGATAACAACGAAGTTTAGTTCAATGA